TGGGGCACTGTGCAGAAGCACAGAACAATCTGCTTCAACAAAAGATTGTACAGAGGATCAACGTTTGGGGTCCCGCACAGCACCTGTCCTTGTTTGGTTGGGCATTGGTCGTGAATGCAGCGCTGTTCGCTCTACTCTGGTACATTGGTTCCGTCAGAGTGTTGGGCAAACAACTAATTAAAGTAGTCAGACGAGTGACAACAAAGTTTTTGTGGAAACCATTTCCAAAAGAGGTGGAGGGATTTATTTCAAAAGTAGCGTGGGATCTGATCTGCCACCGCAGATCAGAAGGTGGACCAGGACTGCTGGACCCAGCAGATCAGAATGCCGCACTACTGATTAAATGGGTTATCAAAGCTCTGGAAAGCTCCTCTGAGGACCACTGAATCTTAATGGCCGAGCAGACCCTGACCCAAGATTGGAACATGCCCAGATCCAAAGACGTATGGACATGTATCATGCTGGAATCATTCTTGCGCAGGCAAACATCTTCCCCCTTTTGGGCCGACGTACTCAAGGCATGGAAGAAAGTGGGGCTCCGACAGTGGATCTATCCAACTACAAGAGAAGAGGTCCTGTCCCAACCGCTGTTTGATAATCCACTCATCCGGGGCAGGGAAGGCAACTGTTTTTCTGCGGGCAGTAGCCCATCAGCTTTTGGCAGACAGTGGATAGAGAAAGGTGTATTGAGAATAGCAGATCTTTGGGACGAACTCACTGGGCATTGGATACCATTAGACATGCTCAAAGGTAAGCTGGGCAGACTGGGACAAGTAGAGGAAAGAGTGGCCCTCTTGAGGGCCGCAATCCCCCTGGAGTGGAATCACCTGTTGAGCCCTACAGGTGCTCCACCTCCAGGGACCTGGTTCTCTGTGAATGATCAAAACGATAGATCAGTGCCTGACAAGTCGTATTGGAAACTGGTTGCAACTAACACAGATGGGTCCGACGAAGCTCCGAGCAAACCACTGGGAAGTCTATCCCAGATCAGAGTGAGGGAAAAATGCAATGACAATGGTGAATGAACGTGTTCGGTGTGGGCAAAGGGTAACCCCATCAGAGAACTAAGGCTCGACCCTAAGCTGTGGAGTTGGACGGGCTCGGAGAACTTTCCACTGGAAGCATGGCTCACGGACTATTCGTCAGCAGGTGGGTATGAACTGCAACGCTCAACAAGGTCACCGATTATGTGTGCCATTAGCCGATGGTGTCAAGTANCATGGCTCACGGACTATTCGTCAGCAGGTGGGTATGAACTGCAACGCTCAACAAGGTCACCGATTATGTGTGCCATTAGCCGATGGTGTCAAGTAYCCACAACAGAGGACACAATCATCCATCGAGACTTAATTCGATGTTGGGAGCAATTGCAGAAATTGCCCATGCAGAGAGCAGCAGCGATCCTCTGGCTGCTATCCCTGCTGGCCACCACATCTGCAGTCTGGTTAGCAGAAAGGGGTATGAAGATATCACTGGAATGCAAGAGATGCCACTGGCCTTTTGAATCAACATTACATTTGTGGCTCTCCTGCCCCCTGTCCAGAAGAATCTGGGTGTGGTGGATCACACACTGGGCCCGCATAAGCGGTCCAGTCTTTCCATGGGATGATCGCTGGATTTTATTGGGAGGAGTCCCAGATGGTTTCGCCTTGGACAAAGGCTGGGGCTACGTTGCCCAAGCCATCAGGGCCTGCCTCTTTTTGGTCATCTGGGAAGTATGAAACAAATGCGTGTTTGAAGGAAAATTATTGTCAGACCAGTCTATTAAGGCAGCAGCAAAACTGCACATCAGAAGAAGCATCAAAGCTGACTGGCGATGGAAGGTGTCCGCGAATGCGCAGAAAGCGGTAGGCCTGGGTTGGTTTGCAGAAACCTGGGCTAACCTTGGCAGTTTGGCCAAAATTCAGGATGGCAAATTGGAGTTGGACGAATGGTTGGTTAGCGTAGACTGAATACCTGGGCGCTCGGTATATCTCCGCAGCAGGAGGGCAGTAGAAAGAGGTAAGAGAGGTAGGAGGGAGTGCCACGGCGTTCTAATGGAGCTGGGCTCCTCTCCCCGCTGATAGGGGTAGGTTCATCTTGCTTCGATTGCTTGGGACTTGAATTGTGGTTGGAAGTCGGTCGGGGGCTGGTCCCCTCGGGGTGTGGTCCCACCCCGTAAGCTAACTCTGGGTAATGCTCCCAGCTTTTCCCGGGTAGACTGTGAGGACCCCGGCCTCTGGTTCAATCAATTTCCCCCCCCCCCCCTCAATTTCACCTCACACTAGTACCTACCTACCACTACTCCTAATTGTAGGCATACGGGGAACCCCTTAGCAGCCAGAACCGTGTTCACGAGAGAACATGCAGGGGCTGCTCCCGACCTGCAGGTGGGCGATACCGGCTAGGGGACAGCCGGTAGCATCAGGGACCATGCCAACAGGACCAATCCCTGTGCCTCCCCTCAGGTCCCCTCCCC